CGCCGCCGGCGGCGGGCTTCGCCGCCGTCGTTGACTGGTTCGAGAAGGACGTGTCGCGGGCCTTCGCGGTCCTCCGCGCCGCCGTCGCCGTCGCGCGCGCCGGCGGCGGCGCCCGTCGGCGCGGGGCCAAGACGACGCCGGGCCCCTCCTAAAACGTTAGTCGCGCTTCGCCGGCGGCGCTCTCGAGAGCGCGGCGTGGAGCGCGAGCGCCTCGAGCGCGCGGTGCGGCCGCGCGGTCGCGGCGCCCCAGGCGGCGAGCGCGGCGGCGGCCGCGGGCGCGCGGCCGCCGCCGTCGCGGCCGAGCACGAGGCGGAGCACGAGGACGAGGCCCGCGAGGGGCTCGGGCGAGAGCGCGCGGCCGGCTTGCGCGGCGGCGACGAGCGCGGGGCCTAAACTCGCGGCGGCCCAGAACAAATCGCTGCGCCGCCCGGCGGCCGCGGCCGCGGCGAGGCCGAGGGCCGGGTGGAGCGCCGCGAGGCCCGCGCAGGCCCAGCCCACCGCGGGCGCCACGGGCCGCGGCGACCCGAACGGCCGCGCGAGGGGCGCCGCGACGAGCAGAGCGAGCGAACCGTGGAGCGCCGCGGCGAGGCCCGCGGACGCCAACCCCCCGCCGGCGGCGAGGTCCGCGGCGGCGCCGGCGGCGGCCGCGGCGGCCGCGGCGACCGCGTCGCCGCCGGGGAGGAGCGCGCGGCTCAGGAGGAGCAGGGGCACGCGCGGCGCGGCGAACGCGGCCGCGAGCGACGCGCGCGCCCAGGCGCCGCTTTGTTCCGCAAAAAAGGGCAGCGCTGCGGCAATAACACCACCTCGGGGCGCGCCGCGGTCTCGCTGGGGCCGGCCGAGGCGCTGCTCGAGGGCCGCGGCGCGGACCGCGGGCGCCTCGGCCGCGAGCGCCGCCGCGCCGTTGACCGCGGCCGCGACGGCCGCGACGAGCTCGTTGCACCAGCAGGCGCACTGGTGGTCCACGGACACGACGCGGCCGCAGCCGGGGATCCTCGGCGCGACGACGTGGAGGCCCGACCGCGGCGCGCCGAGCCAGGGCGGTATTTGCCAGTCGCGCGGCCCGCCGGAGATGGACGCGACGACCGTCGCGTCGTCGGCGTTATCCCGCAGGTCGTCGTAGACGCCCGCCAACGTCCGGTCCGCGGCGAAGGGGTGGCCCGCGAGGGGCGCCGCGAGCGCGAAAACGGCGACGGTCGACGCGTTTCGGGCCGCGAGGACGCCCGCGACGCCGCCCATGGAGTGGCCCACGACGACGACGCCGCCGGCGTGCTTCGCGTGCAGCGCCGCGACGCAGCGCGCCGCGAAGGCCGCCTGGCGCCGCACGAGCCGCCCGTCGTGGGCCGACAGCTCCTCGCGAAAGTCCGCCGCGTACGTCGCGAACGACCGGGAACCGTCGAGGAACGCGAGCTCGTGGCCGAGGGACCGCGCCTGCCTGAAGTCGCCGCCGTTGCCGGGCAGGAAGAGCACGGCGACGTCCTCGTTGTCGTTGTGTCGGTGGCGGCCGAACTCGCTGTAGCGGACGAGGGCGTAGCGGCCGTCGGCGACGCCGACGTCCGCGGGCACGTACTGCGGCCGCATGCGCGTCATGCTGCAGCCATTCTCGAGGCGCGACGCGCCGTAGGGCGCGACGACGAGCAGCGCCGCGAGCGCGGCCGCGGCGACGGCGGCGCGGAGAGGTGCGAGCTTCATAGCTTTTGCCACAGGGGTCAAACGTGAATTCAATGTAAGGATACGTCGTCTAACGATAGACGCCGCTTGATTGGGCTGCCTGTTGCTCGGTGAGTGCTAAAAAGATGAGCGAGTCGCGGGCGTCTTCATCCCAGCCCGCCGGTGGCGAGGAGGCGGGCGAGTTCCACCAGGAGATGGTGGAGAAGCCCTTCGTCAAGGACGTGGCCACGGGGGAGAAGCTCTCGACGCTCCTCGACGGCTTCGAGCCCTTCGACGAGGCCATGCGCATGGAGACACGGCTGCGGCGCGAGAAGGACGCGAAGAAGGTCGCGGCGATGAAGGCGGAGATGCAGCGCCTCGAGGGCACGCTCCGCGAGCAGGGCGCCGTCCACGCGCGGATGAACGAGGACCTCCAGGCCCACTGCGACGCGGAGCTCGCCAAGGCGAAGGACGCCTTCGGCAGCCTGCTGGACCACCAGAACAAGCGCGTCCACGAGCGTTTGGACGTTTTAGAGAAGCGCGCGGACGCTTTGGAGGCGCACTTCCAGACCGAGAAGACGCGGATTTTGCGCGAGATCGAGGAGCGGTCCGCGCAGCTCTCGAAGCTCCTCGACGAGTTCCAGACGGCCTTCGAGAAGGAGCGCAAGCAGCGCCTCTTGCGCGAGGGCACCATCTCCAGCCAGATGGAGCAGCACGAGAAGCACACGGACGCGGCCTTCAAGGAGGAGCGCGCCGCGCGCGACGCCAAGGTCGCCGAGATCACCAAGGAGCTCGTCTCCTGCGTCGCGTCGCGCGCCGCCGCGGACGTCCAGCTCGAGAAGGTCTGCACGTCCGAGATCGCGAAGATCCAGGCCGCGCTCGACGTCGAGGTCACGCAGCGCGAGCTCCAGGACGACAACATCATCACCGCGCTCAACCAGTACACGAACAAGCTCCAGTCGAGCCTCAACATCATCAACTCCACGAACGCGTAACGGGAGAGTGAAAGAAAGCTCGGTGCGGGAGTCGTTGCCGTCGTTGATGCTGATGATGACGCGCTGACTCGGAAAGGGAGAGGATGGCACTTCGGCCTGCTGGCGCATCGGTGCGCTGCTGCTGCTCGCGGTCGTCGGCGCGCACGGCATCGCCGTGAACGGGCGCGCCGGCGAGGTCGTCGGCGCGCAGGGCCGCGTCGGTTCGCTGCTGCTGCGCGCCGGCGCCGGCGAGCTCGCCGCCGTGCCGCGCGGCGTCGCGCCCGGCGGCCTGAGCCCGCCGGGGACGCCGATCATCGTCGCGACGCCCGCGTCGGCGCTCGACGACGTGCTGGCCGCGACGCCGGAGGACCGGCGCGGCGACCTCGTGCTGCTCTGCAACGGCGACGCGCGGGACCGGGCCGCGGCCGCCGTCGGCGCCGGCGCCGCGGAGCGCCTCACCGCGGGCTGCCTCTTCTTCGGCGTGCCGCGCGCGGGCGCGGCGCCGACCTTTGGCGCCGCGGCGCCGCCGACGACGCTCGCCGGGCCGCACGCGGCCGCGGTCGCGGCGCTCGTGGAGTCGACGGGTCCCCGCTGCGCCGTCGTCGACGACCTCGACGCGCTCGAGCCCGTGGCGCACCTGAAGCTGCTCTGGAGCAGCGCGCTCTGGCTCGTCTGCGCGGCGCGCGGCTGCGACGTCGACGTTGCGCACGCGGACCACGGCGACCTTTTGGGGGCCCTCGTCGCCGAGCTCGCGGTCGAGTGCGCCCCGGCCGTCGACCTCGGCGGCCTCCGGCGCTACTCGGCCAGCCTGCCCGGCGTGACGCCGTCGCGCGCGCTCGCGATCGACGAGCTCGACGAGCGGAACGGCTGGTTCCTCCGGCGCGCGGCGAGCGCTGGCCGCGCGCAGCCGACGCACGAGCGGCTTCTGGGGGAGGCCGGCGTCGCGCCGGAGCGCGTCGAGCGAGCAAAGACCGGAGCGACCGCCGCCGCGGGCCGCACGCGCTGGTGGCGCCACGACAGCGGCCTCGCGTTCGCGACGAGCGACGCGACGCGGCCGGCCGCGGCATCCGCAATCGTCGTCGGCGCGGGCATGGTCGGAAGCGCCGTCGCGCGCGAGCTCGCGACGCGCGGCGCGCGCGTCGTCGTCGTGGACGCGCGCGACGAGCCCGCGGGCGCGCTTCCGGCGGGCGCCGTGGTCTGCGACGACGCGACGAGCGGCACCTTCGCGTGGCTCAACGCGCAGGGCAAGCCGGGTGCCTACGGCGGGCTCAACCGCCTCGGCCTGGCCATGTGGCGCCGCGTGGCGCCCTACGCGAAATTTGCGACGTTCGGCGGCTCGCTCGTCGCCTCGGACGACGATCCCGCGCCCGCGGGCGGCGCGTACGCGGTCGACGCGGACGTCTCCGTCGAACGGGTCGCGGCCCTCGAGCCCGCGCTCGAGGTCGACGCCTCCCGGCGCTTCCACTTCTACCCGGACGAGGGCAAGGCGGACCCGGCGGAGGCCGCGGCCGCGGTCCGCGCGGAGGCCGCGGCCGCGGGCGCGACGTTCCGCTGGGGCGCGCGCGTCACGGGCCTGTTGCGCGACGGCGGCCGCGCGACGGGCGTCGCGGTCGACGGCGGCGAGATCCGCGCGGACGCCGTCGTCCTCGCCGCGGGCCGCGGCGTCGGCGACGCGGCGCTCGGGGCCGCGGTGCCCATGAAGCACTCGCCGGGCGTCCTGGCCCACACGCGTGGCGCCGCCGGCGCCGCGCGCATGCGCCCCCTGCTCGTCGACGCGGCGACGGGCGTCCACTTCCTGCAGCGCGCCAACGGCGGCTTCGTCGTCGGCGGGAACCTCCGGGGCTACGCCGTCGCGTCCGCGGCGCCGGCGGGCGAGGACGAGGCGCCGTCGCTCGAGGCGGGCGAGGACCTCGCGCGGCGCGCGGCGCGGTGGCTCCCGCGCGTCGGCGAGGCCGGCGTCGCCGCCACGACGCTCGCGCGCCGCGTCCTGCCCGAGGACGGCCTCCCGGCCGTGGGCTGGAGCCGGCGCGCGGGCGCCTACGTCTGCGCGTCCCACAGCGCCATCACGCTCGCGCCCGTGCTCGGCGCGCTCGCCGCCGCGGAGCTCGCGGACGGCGTCGACGTGGACCTGCTGGCCGACTGGCGCCCGGACCGGTTCGACGATGAGGTCGTAGCGAGCTAGGTAACACTGCCGTTCGGTCCCAACCCCGGCGAATCCGCTTATCCGACGCGCGGCAGCGCGCCTCGGTGGGGCGCGACGCACCCCTGGAAGAGCGCGAAGTGGGGCGCGCCGCGGCGGCCGTAGACGAGGGGCTCGCCGAAGGGCGCGCGCGCGCCCAACACGCGCGTCGGGCCCTCCGAGCAGTCGACGGCCGCGCCGGTCCAGAGGTGGACCCAGACGGCGCCCGCGGGGAGGTAGATGTCGCGCGTCGCGTTCGCCGATTCCGAGAAGGCCGGCGCGGCGAGCAGCTCGTCGCCGAGGAGGAACTCGTCGTCGACGGCGCGCGCGGCGGCGTCGTCCGCGTCGTGGAGGAGCAGGGGCCGCGCGAGCGGATGCCCGAGGCGCGCCGCCTCGTCCATGAGCGACCGGCGGTAGGGCGAGAGGCATCGAAAAATGTCCGCGAAGCGGCGGAAGTGCGCGCCGACGGCCGCGTCCGAGTAGACCTGGACGTTCTCGCGCGGCAGCGAGCCCGGGTGCGTGCGGAACACGGCGTCGGAGAAGGCGCTGCTCTCCGCCCAGCGCATGAGCACCGCCGCGCTCCGCGGGAACCGCGCCAAGGGCACGTCGACCGTCGTGTAGCCCCCCACGTCGCTGTGGCCGAGCGAAAAGCCGCTGAGGCCGCTCTGGAGCAGGGCGACGACGGCGCTGTGCAGCCCGTCCTTCTCGTCGAGCGTGTGGAGCTGGTCGCCCATCCACATGAGGCGCGCCGCGCCAGGCGACCGGGACGTCGCCGACCGGTCGAACCAGAGCAGGTCGCCGTCGCCGCCCGCGGCCGCGCGGCCGACGTCCGCCCAGTCCAGCGCGTAGCGCGAGTGGTACTCCACGGGGTCGGAGCCGTCGTGCAAGACCGCGTCCAAAGGCACGTATTCCCCGAAGTCGTGCATCCAGCCCGCCGCGCCCGCCTCGCCGACGAGGTTGTCGCGCAGTACCCCGGTCATCCACCGCTTCGCCGCCGGGTTCGTCAGGTCGACCATGCAGAACTCGATGGACCCCGACCGGACGACGTAGGGCGCGCCGCCGCGCGTCTTCACGAAGTAGCCGCGGTCGACGCCCTCGGCGTAGTAGTCGCGGCGGTGCGGCAAATGGCTCACGTTCGTGAAGTAGGGGTTCGCGTACGCGAGGACGCGCGCGCCGAGCGCCTCGCGCCAGCGCCGCGTCTGCCGCCGCCAGTCCGGGTACCAGGTCTCCGACAGCTCCCAGTTCCAGAGCACGCGCTGGCCCTCCGTGTAGTTGACGAGGCCCGTCCAGTCCTGGAGCCAGATCCCCGCGAGGGGGACGTTGAACGCCGTCAGGTTCGCGACGACGTCGTCGACGAACGCCGAGCCGCCCTCGGTGCCGACGATGGCGCCGCGGTCGACCCAGGCCGGCAGGGGCGCCATGCGGCCCGTGACGTTGCTCAGCGCCGCGACGACGGCCAAGAGCCGCCGGGGGCCGGCCGCGTCCGCGGCGACGAGGATCGCGCCCTCGAGCGCCGCCGCCCCGAAGTAGCTCAGCTCCAGCGCCGCGCCGCCGGCGGCGCCGAGGTCGACGACGCCGACGCGCGTCGAGTCCACGACGAGGCCCCGGCCCAGGGACGTCACGTAGGACGAGCACGCGCTGTAGGTCGTGTGCCAGTCGCCGCCCTGCTCGCCGCCGAACGCGTTGATCGCGGTCGTGACGGGCTCCAGCCCGCGGCCGACGCCCTGCTCCGACGCGATCACGGGGAACGTCAGGTTCTTCAAGTTCCAGCGGCTGTAGGTCATGCCGAAGCCGTAGACCTCCTCCGCCGCCGGCGACGCGACGCGCACGCTTAAGAAGGACCGCGGGTCGTCGTCGACCGCGGCCTCGCAGGCCCAGCGCAGGTTCAGCTCGCCGGGCGCGCTCGTCAGCGCGAAGCGGTAGGCCACGCGCGCGGTCTCCGTCCCCACGGAGCCGTAGATCGCCACCGTCGCGGGGCCGGCGCCGACGGCCGACGGCCCGACGACGCGGTCGACGACGTTGGAATTCGGCGCCGACACGTTGTCCCCTAGCTTCGGCTCGCGGTAGAGCGCGCCGTTGTAGATCGTCGCGTTGACGTCCAGCGACCCGCGGCCGACGCGCAGGAACGAATCGTTGGGCAGCGTCTCGAAGACGATGGTCGTGTGGCGGTAGACGCGGATGCAGTTCTCTTTTTTGGACACGACGACGCGCGTGTGGTGCAGGTGGAACGTCTCCTCGGCGGCTGCGCCGACGAGCAGCAGTAGGGCTGCTGCGGCGCGCATGCTTCGAGCGCGATGCAGGTGCAGAGCCCCTGAACTCCGGACCGCGAAGCGATCAACTCCGGACCGCGCAGCGGTCCGGCGCCGCAAGCGCCCGGTGCGCGCGGGCCAGTGCGCGGAGGTGCAGAACCTCGCGCGCGCGCTCGGCCAGGCTGAGGCTCACGCTTGAGGTAATTATTAATCGGCGACGAAGCGTCGGCCTCTGGACAGAGGGGGCCGACCACCAGGCATACACCAGCCACGGCATACACCAGCATAGCAGCCGCATAGCGGACGCATAGCGGACGCATAGCGGACGCATAGCGGGCGCATAGCGGGCGCATAGCAGGCGCATAGCAGGCGCATAGCAGGCGCATAGCAGACGCATAGCAGGCGCATACCACCAGCATAGCAGGCGCATAAGACCAGCATAGCAGCCGCATACCACCAGCATAGCAGGCGCATAAGACCAGCATAGCAGCCCGGCGACCGCCGTCGATGACAACCCAGGCGACGACCGCCGGAGGTTACCGACGCTCGCCGCGGCGCGGAGCCCCTGCGAGCCACACGGAACCGGGATCCCCGGGCGCGCGACCCCGGGCCGCCTAGCTACCTGGACCGACGAGTCGGCGCCCGACGAGTCGGCGCCCTCGCACGGTTCGCGCGGTCGCGCGGGTCGAAGCGCGGCGCGAGTTCAAACCGCGCGCGGACGTTCGAGTCCGTCGACCGCGGGCGGCTCGCTCGGATCACGAACCGAAGTCGGCGGAGGAGCACGCCACGCAGGACGAGAGAGACTCGGACGAGCGCACGCCGATTGAAGTCGCGCGCCCTCGCGCGGTTCGCGCGGACCGTCGTGATTTCGAAGTCGCAGCCCCTGGGTATCAGCTACTGCAGGTGCACCGACGGACCGGTGCTCGCCGCGAACGGGGCTGTGGTCCATCGGTGGTTCTTTTTCGCGAGGAACCCGTGGGGGACGCGGTCGACGGCGGGCATCGCGCGGTCGCGCGCGTTTCGAAGCGCGGCGCGAGTTCAAACCGTGCGCGCTCGTCCGAGTCTCTGTGGTGTTCTCGAGGAGCGAGACGCACCGCTAAACGCGGAGGCTGCTACACTGTCGAACGCCAGCGACTGGACGAGCGCACGGGTTGTGAAGTCGCGCGGATTTTGAAGTCCGACAGCCCGCGCCGCCCTGTTGTGGGTCGCACGCGGGCCAGTCGCAGCCCGCAGCGCCATCGATCGTGACTCCGACCTTGATCGGCGGCTTCGCGGCGGCGCGGGCGGCCCGGGGCGCGGCGAGCCCAGGGCCGTGGGGTATTATGGGATGGCGGCGAGTCGGCGAGTCGCTGCGCCGCCGCAGCCCGAATGTGCCCATATCATTTAGATACGGGCAGATATAAAATCAACCTAGCAAGGCTTTAGGGCCGCGCGGACAAGGACACGCTCGGCGCCTACGACCTCGGCGAGGAGGCCTTCAACGCGGAGGCGCCGAGATACATCAAGGACAAGTGGGCCAAAAAGGCGATGAAGAACCTCCGCGATTCCTTCGTCAAGCAGCAGTAGGCTCCCGCATTACTCCCTAAGGAGGGCCGGCGCCATACTTCGCGTTGCTCGAGCTCGACAACGCGTTGCCCACGGGCCATTACAGCCTCGTCCGCCGCACGGACGAGGTCGAATACACGTAAATTCGCGGGTTCTGCGTGCTCAGCAACGACGTAGAACCCACGCAGACGTGCCTCGAGCAGGGCCGCGTCCGGCTACTAGAAGTTGAAGTAGGTATTTAGTTAATCTGAGGGCTCGGCCATCCATGGTAGGAGCGCGTAGCAGCCTAAAGTATTATAAACTATACGTGGTGGGAGCCGCCATTAGCTAGGCACGGACGGGTCGTGTCCGTGTCGTGAGCGCGGAGCAACCGCCGCCCGATGCGGGCCCTGCCGAACCACGCATACCACCAGCATACCACCGGCATAGCAGCCGCATACCACCGGCATAGCAGCCGCATACCACCGGCATAGCAGCCGCATACCACCGGCATAGCAGACGCATACCACCCGCATACCGCCCGCATACCACCCGCATACCACCCGCATACCGCCCGCATACCACCCGCATAAAACCCGCATACCACCCGCATACCACCCGCATACCACCCGCATAAAACCCGCATAGTAGGCGCATACCACCAGGCATACCGGCGGTCAACCCCCTCGGCCTCTGGAGGCGATGTTGACGGCCAGTTGATGGCCCGTGCTGCGATGAGTGCCGCCGCGCAGGCTGGCCCCGCGCTCGCCGACCAGTGCGCCGGTCGGCGGCGACGTCGCCTCGGAAGGACGCTACGACAACCATCACGAGAGTGCTTCCTTTCCAGCCTGAGAACACACCTTAACGCGCGCGGCTTTCAAGCGCCGACGTTGTCGTTCCGCTCGACACGCTCATCGGAGAGGGGCTTCAGGGCGGCGCCGCGGCGGGCGCGCGCGGCGCCGCGGGCGGCGGGCGCGGCTGGAGGGGCAGGGCGCTCGGCAGGGGCGGTCGGGGCCCCAGGGGCGGCGGCGGCGGCGGCGCGGCCCGCGGCGGCGCGGCGGGCGCGTCGACGAGCTCGACGTCGTCGTCGTCCAGCGCGGCGCCGCTCGCCGCCGACGACGCGCGCCGTTCCTCCACCATAGCGTCGTGCTTCGCGAGCCGGATCTGCACGAGGAGCTCGGGCCGGCCCCGGCGGAAGTTGACGTGCTTGAACTCCCAGCGCCGCGGCGTCGTGTACTGGTTCCGGTTCGCGCTGAGGTTGCGGAAGCCGTAGTTTTTGAGCCGGCGCACGAAGCTGCTGAAGTTGATGTGCTTGAAGTACTGCGGGATGACCTCGGACGCGAGCGTCTCCGCGTCCAAGATGACCATCGAGTCGCCCGCGTCGCTCCAGCCGCCCACGGTGCCGTCCAAGCCGTTGATCATCTTGTAGATCTTCGACGGGAACGGCTCGTGCACCCGTTCCTTCACCAGAGCGTCGTGGAACTCGTCCACGTCCACGCCTATCCGCAGCGCTGCGAGAGACGGGGCAACACGCCCGATTAAGCGCTGATCGGCGCGCGTCGCGTCGAGTCCGATCTCGGCGTCGCGCTGCCGCGCCTCCGCCGCTTCGGCGGCGACGTTCGCGAGGCCGAGGATGGCGTCCGCGTCGCGGTCGGAACGCGGCGCCTCGCCGCGTTTTGACTGGTCGCCGTGATTGTCGTAGATGGCGTTGCCCACGACACGGGCAAGCCCGTCGTGGGAGAGCATGGAATTGAATCGGTATAGGTGGTTGCGCGCCGGGTTATTCGCTTGCCAATGCCGCTGTCGCCGGTAAATTCCCCCTGTCGCAGCGATCGCCTCCGTCTCGGCGTTCTCCTTGAACGCGAGTGTCGCGCTGCGCTTGCGTGCGCTCGGGGCGCGCGGCGGGAGCTTCCGCCCTCCATAATGAGGTCGCGACATGCGCGCGGACGAGCTCGTTCAAATTTACCTCAAGCTCTGATGCTGAAGGCCGAAAAACGCCATGGCGCGCGGGCAGCCCTGCCTTCGCGCGCGGACGTCTCGGCGTGGCGCGCTCCTGGCGCTCTTGCGTGGGTCGTTGCTGTTCACGAGCGCGCGGCTGTGGCGGCTATCGCAGGGTCTGCGCCGACGAGGCTGTGGCGGCTGCGTGCGGCGACATCACCACGTTCATGCGCGTGTAGCGCCGCCCGACGAGCTACTCGCTCCTCGAGCCGCCGGCGCCGCCGAGGCCCACGCCGCCCGTGCCGTGGCCGAGGTCCTCGACGCGGCGGCCCGCGACGGAGCGGTCGTGGCCCTCGGCCGTCGGCGACGGCCGGCGGGTCCGGCGGCCGACGATCGCGCCGGCGCCCGCGCGACCGCTCCGACGGCGCCCTCGACGGCGCGCCGACGGCGGCGCCGACGAGCGACCCGTCGCTCCGGCCCGCGCCTCCGGAGCCGCCGCTCGTCGTGCGTGACGACGGGCTCGCCTCGGCGGCGTCGACGGCGTCCGGCCGGAGAGCTAGCGCCGGTCCAACTCCGATCCGCCGGACCCGAAGTGTTCCGACGGCGCCGCGGACGCCGGGGCCACGCCTGGCTGCGACGGCTCGCGACACGGTGCCGACGATCGCGGTGGTGCACGCGCTTGTAGTGACGCGAGCGCGGAGCTCGGCGGCTCGGTTAGCCGCTCTATCCGTGCGTTACGGGGGGCGCGCGATTCCACGCGCCACGCGCGTTGCAGGGCGTACGCGTCGGGGTCGAGGTAGGGAAGTGGGGGCGTCGCCCCGCCCAGGAGTCCGTTCGGGGCCTGGGGGGAAGACGACGCGCGCGGCGGGCCGCGCCGCGGCGCCGCGGGTGCCCGGGCGGCGGGGCGCGGCTCCCGCGGTCGCGGCGAAGGCCTCGCTCTAGCCGGAGCCGGAGAGCCGCGCCTTCACCGTGAGGCACAGGGCGCCGCGGAGGCCGCAGCGCGGCTTCGAGCCGCCGCACGGGCAGTCGCACGGCGCGTCGCACTTCGGCTTCTTGGGCTCGCGCGCCTCGGCGTACGCCAGCAGGCAGCGCTTCTTGTCCTCGGCCTCCTTGCCGCTCTCGGCGTCCTGCTGCGCGGACTCCGCGACGGCCGCGTCCGTCGCCGCCATCGCGACGTTGACGTCCTGGAGGGCCGCGGCGAGCTTGTCCTCGTAGTTCTTCGGGTCCCGGACGCGCTCGCGCACGGCGACCGCGCCGAAGCGCGCCATCGCGGCCTTCATGTCCTCCTTGTCGTCGTCGGCGACGTCCGCGCCCGCCATCTTCACGCCCTTCGCCGTGAGGATCCGCGACGCGCCCATGCTCTCGAGCTTCGTGCGCTTCTCGTGCGTCAGGTCGCCGTAGCCCTCGCCCATCTCGACCGTGAGCACCTCCTGGAAGTTCCGGTCGAAGATGCCCGTGCCCGAGATCGTGGCCTTGGAGACGTAGTACTCGAAGTTGCTCGGTTCCGTCTTCCCATGCCCCCACAGGTCGAGCAACGCGACGAATTCCTCGAAGGCGCGGTGTTCCTCGTCGCGCAGGCCCGAGCGGTGCACCACGGTAGGCATGGTTGCTTGCAACGCGCGCAAAGAGTCGCCGACGACTCGTTCAAACTCGCGCGGTCGAGGGAATCGCTGGTCGTGTTTAGGCGAATGTATCCTAGTTGTGGCCGCGGCGCTGTGGAATGGCCACTGAGCTGGCCGTGATGGGCAGCCCGATGCCTGCATCACCCGAGGAGCCGCGAGATCGGCCCGCGCCCTCACGGGCGTGGTAATTTCCGTGACCGCCGTCGGCGCCCCGTGTCTCTAGAGACTGTACGGGACGCTCAATCCGGAGGAGGCGTTGGCGGAGCGCAGCCCCAGCGCCGCGACGGCCAAGCGCTACGGCGCCAACGCCGGAACTCGAGCGCGCCATCTGGCGCCCCGCGCGCCGCATATCGCGCCTGCTCGCGTCGCGTCGCCTCTAGCTCGTGCTCTCGTAGGTACGTCACGTCGATCGCGGCCACCGGATCGTCACCGCGCCCGCGCGGCGCGAGTCCTTCTCTCGACTCGTCCGGCTCGATGATGACCACGTTCCGGTAGGAGAGCTGGGCCACGAGCGCCATGCCCAGCGACGCGAACACGCTCTCGTCCCGTGAATGAGGCGACGAGATCCGCGACGACGTTTCGGTAGGTCGCGGAGCAGCGCGCGGACGCCATGAAGCTCCAGACCCTCG